TGTGACTTACTATCAGTTATGTGCACCACCAGGTTGTGTATTAATTTAAAATAGACATTTTTATGTAATTTTGTACAATTTAAATTTTATATAATATTTCAATAAATTAGAATATGTATATATTACATATTGATTCTATATTTTTAATTTATAAATATTACTTAATAAAAAAATTTTAATTTATAAATATTAGTAAATATTTTTTACCCGTGCATCGCACGGGACTCATACTAGTAACTAATAAACTAGAAAATAATTTTTGGAAAAAGTGGAAAAAAAAAAATCACAAATAAGCCATCACAGTGAGTGTTGGTATATTTCGATCATAAATAGAAACTTTTTAAATATACAATTATTCCATTAATATATTACAAAAAAAAAAAATGATTTTTTTATAGGTGAATTACATAAATTTATCATGTTACTTTTGGGCCGACCCAAAAAGGCGTGATCCATTAATAAGTTTCTTCCATTTTCCCGACTGTAAGAGTGACCCTTTTCTCCAAACTGAGGCCTCCATGGCCGCCGGCGTTCTCACCGGAATTTGTTCCCGTTTTGGGTTATCTCTCCGTCACTTACAGGTTTCGATAATCTCAAAGTCTCATCGGAACCCATGAAGGGAGGGAGCCTGAGTATTATCATTCCACTTGGGAATCGCAAGAGTCTCCTTGGTTTCAGGTTTCTCTTCTGCGCTTTTCGACTTCATAGCTACATTAATGGGTAAATAAATGCTCTACTGTTCTGAAGTGTATTTCTCAGCCTTTCCATATTCTGCCTCATCATCTTCGTTTTCTTCATATTAGACTTAGAATTTAACTGCCCATCAGACAGACAATATCTGAATCCTGGTACCCTCCGAATGCTACTGCTTTGGTTTGAAGTTGCGAAAATCAGGTGCCCTCTGTCAGAATTTAGGATAGAGAGCAAAACATGGCATCGATTGATAGGCTGAGCAGCTTGCCGGAGGGCATCATATGCCACATTCTCTCTTTTCTCCCGACAAAGCGCTCAGTGGCGACCAGTGTTCTCGGAAAAAGATGGAGGTTTTTATGGGCCCATGTACCCTGTTTGGAGTTCAGTGGATACGATTTCAGGAAAGAAGATTTTGGGGAAGAAGAAACTCAATCCTGGGACGATTTCATGAAAGAAGCAACACAAGCCTCGAACATCATCCATGGGATTATATTGCGGCACAAGGCAAAAAGAATGGATTCTTTAACACTCGATCACGTCTACTGCGACGAGGATCAACTCGAGACATGGATAAAGACCGCCATCGACCGTGGTGTCCGGAATCTTCATCTTGAACTTGACTTTGATACAATCCCTCAATCCCTCTTCAATTGCAAAACCATTGTCGACTTGAAGCTTGATAAGATTAGAATGTCACTCTCTGATGTGGGCAATGTCTCTCTGCCTAGCCTCAAGAAGTTTTATGTTTACAATCTGATAAGCGAGAATGATGATGTGCTTCCTCGCTTTCTTTCCGGTTGTCCGTCACTCGAGGAGTTGAATATGGTATTCACTTTCAGGGAGGAAAATGATTATGTTGGCTGCAAAAACATATCATCACCCAAGCTAAAGACGCTTAAGCTCAATCTTGTCGATTTGTTTTGTCCATGGCAACCTGAATATAGAATGATAATAAATGCCCCGGCCCTTAGGTATCTCCAAGTGCATGGCTATGACTTGGAGTGTATAACAATTCCTATAACCATGATCTCCTTAGTTGAGGCGGATATCCGCTTAGCAAATTATTGGCTCTCAAATCTCAAAACGACGGTGGTGAAGTTTTTTCATTCTCTATGTTATGTTAAGTGCCTAAAAATATCATGTTGGAAATTTGGGGAGGTATGTTTTGATTCTTCAATCTCTTTGGCATCCTGTCGCTTAGTTTTCTGCTTTGTTGTTATATATATAAGTAATCTGGTTTTATTTCCAGTTTATTCATAGAGGAGTTGCTTGTTCAATTTTAAAGTTGGATAATTTAACCAAACTTGAACTCCGACTGGACTTCGAATGGAGTTTGCTTGTAAAGTTCCTTGAAGTTGCTGATAATCTTCAAGTCCTCACTGTAAGTGGAGTTTATCATTGATGCAATTGAATTTGTATTTAGCCGTTTCTCATTTTTCTTACAACACTAGCTCCTTTTAATGTTAGCAGGTTGATTTTAATAAGGGAGATTCATGCCCGGAGCCCGAACAAGCGCCTAAATGCCTGCTATCATGTCTAAAAACTATAACAATTAAGTCGATGCGGTTCAAAGAGCATGAATTTGACATGGTGAGATATCTTTTGAGGAATTCTCGAGTATTGGAGAGGATTGAAGTATTTACTCCAACTTATGAATGCATTGATCTGGAAACGAAATTTCAAGCTCTTAAGAGAATTTCATTATTTCAGCGAGGATCAAGCGCATGTCAGCTTGCCTTCCTTACTGATTCTGAGTGATTGGTCTGAGGTCTTATTATGTAGTAACTAGCAAGTACTGTTTTCTGCTTTCGATAACCAAATGTTCGTCAAGTTCTTCAAGTTGTAGTAACTATTCGACTTGCTTATGTTTCGTGCAATTGTGAGATGATGAAAATATTGGGTATGAAACTTGAGGATGATTCATAAACTCCCTAGTAGTGTATGTTCTGTGTTGCTCAAATTTTACTGTTTTAGTAATTTGAGGTGGAGTGAGTACGGCTTGTGAACGAACAACCTCCATTTTTTTGGTTAGTAATAGAAAATATTAAAATAATCAATCTTAAAAAATTTATTGTATTAAAATGTTATTGATTCTGGCATAGACGACTCATTAAAACCCAAGACCTACGGTCCAACGCAGGCTGGGTTTCCCTTGATCTTTACTTGCATGTGACAAGATAGTTGAACTCTAATAAATATGTTAAATGAGTTTAATATATTCATATAACTTAAAAAAATATATATATTTTTAAATTTCGATTCATTTAAATGAGTTGGTATGTATGTATTGTGTTACTAGAACTATTTGCGAGGTCTTCGTGTCATGATGTTGCATTAACTGGTTGGCATCGTGTCCCTCGACTGCTGCATGTCGAACTCAAATCTGAGAGAAAAATCAAGATTGAGCAATGAATTGAATTACTTAAAAATATAAGTTTTGTTTGATTATTAATTGGTAAATAACAATTATATGGTTATTGTGATAAATTTATGTTCATGGTTATCAAACAAAAAACTCTAATCAAGTTCACATTCCAGAAAATATGGCATTGAAGGTTGTTATGTTTTTGCTTTCTAATCCTTGTTGTAATAAGACTAAGATGGTGATGGGATTATTGGGCTAGATAATATGCCACAACTAGGCTAAACTACTTGGCCCAATTCGTAATAACTAACAGAACCTATAAACCCAATAACATCAACACAATCAGTTGATAGACGCGTGTCTTTCAGGTCTGGGTAACAAATCCCGGCTTGCCCCGGCCCGGCCTGCATTCTTTTTAGGGTGATTTACATTTGTACCGTGTGTGGGATTAAATAATTGCAAATCTACACTTTTCCAAACTTATTTGCATATGTACGGTATTAGTCCTTTTTAATTGTGTAAATACTAAATAATTAAATGATGGATTATAAATGGTCAGTTGTTTTACATTCCGTAACTGACGGGCAGTTAATCCGAAGATTGTGTATAAGATAAATGTTATGTAAACAATGCATTTTAATCCCTCGCCGAGATCTCTTCCATCACCTGCTTCTTCTCCACATGGTATTTATTTGTCGACCCCTGCACTTATTTTGTCAAGTGTCACATTCACTCCCCCCACCGTTCGTGTCTCCACCCTCTCCCCCGACATCGGCCTCTCTGGGTCCCCCGGTCTCGCAGGCACCCTCTCCGGGTCCTCCGACGGGACTCTAAGAGTGGAGATTCTGAAAACTCCAGTGAGTACGACTTCATCTATGGACAAGATGTTTTCACCGACTTGAATTCCGGCAGCTCGAGGGGAGTAAGGGCATGGCTTTTTCAGAAGGAGGGGTCATACGAGGTGGTTGAGAAGGATAAAGCGGTAGTGGTGTTGGCGGATGATTGGGTTGAAAACGTAATAAAAACGCAACATATACTGAACATATATTGACTAGATAAATGTTATGTATATAAAATTGCAACATATTTTGAACATATACTTATAATAATGATTAAATAAATGTTATGTATATAAAAACACAAATATGTATTGACTATAAACACAACATATACTGAAAATTGTTATGTATATAAAATTGCAACATATACTGAACATATACTTATAATTATGATTAAATAAATGTTATGTATATAAAAACACAAATATGTATTGACTATAAACACAACATATACTGAAAATATACTGATTATAAACACAACATATAAGACGAAATGTTATTCAAATAAAAATGCAAACATATGCTGGAAATATACAAACTGTAAACACAACATATATTAAAAATATTTCGAATTGCGTAAGATTTGACGCTTGTCGTTAATTCTTGCATAATATATACTAGAAAATTTATGATGCGATTTGAACAAGATTTGATGTCCGTTGTTAATTCTTGTACAAAATATTCCGGTGCTCGTGTTTGCTTTTTTCCCGAAGGGGATTCGTCGACGTCGCTGGAAATATTTGCACTGACTGTTGTGCGATTTTTTCGACCCTTCAATCTTTTGATTTATGATGAATTTAAAAGCTTCATTTGAACAAGCTTCCCGCCAACATTAGGTTTAATGTCGTGGAGACGAGAATTGGATCTCGGTGGTGGGACTTCTCCTCCACCGAGATGATGCTGCTTTGACATGGGGTTGATCAATTTTTGCCATTTGTTTGATATTGGTTCTCATGGAAGAAGATTTTAGGAAGAAGGAACATGTTGATTTTCAGAACTGTGGTGTCAAAGAAAATTGAATATAAATAGAAAGAGAAATCATAAATGCCGTGAAGAACGGATGTTCAAATTGGGGTTCCATAAACCAAGAGCAGAAGAATAAATTTTCTGAGAGAGACGGAAGAAAAAAGATGATGAAAAGTGAGAAGATATGTCATATCCATGAAATCCTCACATTACCCAATAAATCTCAACTT